ACTTCATTGAATGGATACAGTATATATATTTTTTGTTTATTCACATACCAGTTGATGGACATGCGGATAATTTTCACTCTGGGGTTAGATGAACAATGCTTCTATATACATGTCTTTGTGTGAATATACGTTTTCATTTCCTTGATAGATTCCTAGGAGAGGAATTGCTGGGTCAGTTGGTAAATTATGTTTAACTTTATAAGAAACTGCCAAATTATTTTCCAAAGTGGCTATGTTCAATTCCTGTCAGTAATGTAATAGGACTCAGTTTCCCATATCCTCAGCAGCACGGTATTTTCTGTCTTTTTAATTATAGCCATTCTAATAGATGAGAAGTTATTAGTGATTCTTGTACATTTCATTGTGATTTGATTTTGCATTTTCCTAATTACTAATGAGATTCAACATCTTATGTTCTTATATTGTTATTAGCAATTCGCATATCTTCTTTTTCTTTTCTTTTTGTGGAGACAGTCTATTTAAATCTTTGACCATGTTTTGTTTGAGCTCTTTGTCTTATAATTGAGTGGTAAATAAACACATTTTTAAATAGTAAAGTCTAAAAATACTTGCATTCTACTGAGCCACCACTCAAGGAGAAGAATGAAAACAGAGTTACGTGGAACATTTTAACAAAATTAAATTAGAAAAGGATTGTGAGCGAGACAAATCACGAGAGACTCTGGACTCCTGGAAACAAACTGACGGTTTCAGAAGGGAGGGGGGCAGTGGTGGGATGGGGTGGCTGGGTGAGGGGTACTGGGGGTTCTATGTAACTAATAAATTGTTGGACACCACATCAAAAACTAATGATGTACCATATGTGGGCTAACCGAACATAATAAAAAAAAAGAAAAAGAAAAGGATTGTATTTCCTAGCTACAGGATGCATGGGGGAATTCTGGTTGAGAGCTACTTAGTATTGAACCTCACCTTCCTTACGGTGTGGCGTCCTTCTGCAGGCTTGCAAGTTGGCGGGTACATCTCTAGGCATCACATCCATATTTATGACGGAAATAAAGGAGAAAGATACAAGACAAAAGGCCCGTAATGCCCTGATTTGGTTTGTTTTTATTTAGACGCACTACTTAGTACGCTTCTGCTTATATCTTATTGGGCAGCGTTGGATCAAATGACCATCCCAAAAGACTACCAAACTGAGATGGGATGGGGAGTGATGTCTAAAAGATATAGATAGAAATAGACAATTAAATAGAAAATTTAATAAACATTAGTTAGGAAATGGAATTAGCTAATTATTCAAGAATTTTATACTATTAAAATGACATCTAAAAGATTACTTAATGATGTGAAAAATATAGTAAGTGAAGATATGACATAGCAAATAGTGTATAAAAAAAGACCATGTTTTTGTTTAGAAAAATCCTACCTTTTGAGGTTTAAAAGCAAATGTATCAAAATATTAATGAAATTTATACTTTTATAGGGAAACTAAGTAGAATGGTAATTTTCCCCCTAATTTTGTTAATTTTCAATTTTTTCTGATGAATTTGAAAACTAAAATTTGTCAGAAAAAAATATTGCAATATTTCAACCAAGTAAACTTTAAAAAGTGACAGACCTAACATTGACAGAGTAGAGTTTTCCCTATGGTGCCATCATAGGTATTAAAAAGAGCAAGATGGAGAAAAGTTTCGTATTTGTATCTTGGCATACTTGAGTGGACATGCTGTGGTTAGTAATAAAATGCATGAAGACATGGGGAATCTATGTAAGAGGAAGGAAAACCAGGTACCAGGAACTAAGATTAAGAACAGAAAAGAAAATGAGAGAAAAAGCCATGTGTGCCCATCTTTACTGCTTCAGTGGGTTATTCTTGTCTCTTAGACGACCTCAATCATGAAGTTATTATTCTTGTTATTAGTCTCTTAGATTTTCACTTCTTCCAAAAAAATCACACATTCACAGGGAATAACTAGTCAATTAAAGAATATATATTCAATTGGGTTCCAATTTCTATTGACATCCATCATTAAAGGGTTTGGGACATAGAAAGAAGAAGTACAAATTTGGGATGGGTATCACCTAGGTAGGACACAGTGGGACTGGTGGTAGGAGAATGCCAAAAAGGTGTAAGGTCATCTACGATCTGTGAATTACTTATTTAGACTTCTGTCAATTAGACACCTCTTCATCTTTCTATTATAGCAAATAACCTAGCATCTGGCACACATTAAGCACTGTGAATATTTACTGAGTGAGTCAACAAATGAATTAATGAACGTGACAATTCCCCTCTAGGAGATGAGGCAGGATCCTGAGACACATGGTTAGGTACAGGACACCAAACCAGGGGATCAGCTATAAGGCACAAGGTCGGCTCTGGAGTAGCGGTTCCTGCACTCTGATGTCAGGTCACCCATCACAGCTCCGACAATGTTTCCTCACCCTCCATTTTTTCTCCCTGCCCAGGATCGGTCTTGGATCTAAAAAGAAGTGTAGGGTTGAGCATTCATGAGCATCAGCTGGTGCATAGCGAGCATTTAAAAGCCAGAACTGGACAGATTCTGGTATTTGTCTTCAACTTGCTTTGAAGTAAATAAATATTTAAGATAAATTTAATACAATTTCAACCCCGGAAGCACGTTTTTTCCTCTCAATGTTCTTTTGATTAAGTTATGTTATAGGCTTCTGTATAGGCTTTGTTATATGTACTTGCTGGGGTGAACTATACCCTTCAACGTATGAAGACACAAAGTGGCTCTTTATCAAGAAAAACGAATGACAAGAAATAATAATGGCAAAGGACTACCGGGTATTGTTGAATATATTTTTCCAAAGAGATTTGTTAAAAGATTGAAGAAAACAGAAACCCTTGAGAACAAGGATGGTTAATCGTCCCTGAAGGCCATACTCTAAATGCTAACTCTTTAGACCAGACCCTGAACTGTAAACAATTTTATCCTCCTTTCTAAGACAACGTTCCAAGACATAAGTACTCATACTTTTACTTACGAGTCAGAAACATTTGGGCATAAGCCTTTCAACTACATTCTTTATTTTATGGCCACAAAATTTAATTTGTAGGCAGATGTCATTACAGGGGGCGGTGAGACAGATTTTACCTAGGACCTAGTTGGCATGTACTCTACCCACTCAATAACATAGACTCAACTAGGTATTAAATTAAGGCCTATTTTGTCTGGTAGGGCAAACTTAAGAGAAATATAATTTATCTCATAAACTTGACTCTAAACTGCTTACTGTATTTTAAATGAATTTTATCTTTCACTTTATTTTTAGATAGACTTTCACAAATCTATACGTTCATAAGGGATTCACTAATTATTTCATCTGTATATTACACAAACATGTCTTAGAATCTATTTGCTAAAGAATTTTTTTGGTAGCCCTTATTCGTGCCCTTCCTTTTGCATACATTTAAAATTTTGTGTTGAATAAGCCCTTTGAGTCTCATCAATTTTCTTTTTTTAGTTATATTTGCTAGCCTTCAGGCTGCTTTTCTCGCTCTTGTTAGAGAGAGAGAGATAAACAGATATACAGTATATGGATAGATCAGTTTCACAAAATTGAAAGGTATTTAATTGCAGATATGCATCAGTCAACTTATATGGATACCTACTTCTCATTCTAACTACAATTGGTAGCAAGTAGAAGATAATAGTAAACAGAGCACTAGACCCCGATGGGAGGACTAGAATTCAAGTTCAGAAATTTTCATGACACTTTACTTGGTTGCCACAGGAAAAAGCTAAGTATAAGCAGAATGGAATAGAAATTAAAATGGGAGATAGTAAAGAAGATGTAAGGCAGTGAGGGGCAGTCAGAGAGCTAGCAACACAAGTCACAGAGCCAAGGATCACAGTATTTTGAAGAATGCTGAGGAAAAGGAAGACCGTTGAAAGACCACTGGCCAGGTGCAGGCTCCTGGCCCTATTAGGAAGTTTCTGGTTGCCTTTGAATTCATTTTAAATTGAGTGGAGACAACAAACGTTTGATTGAGAGTTTAAAGAGTAGTTGGGGTGATCGGAAAATGAGATCAGGTGCGTGTCAGTTGTGAGAAAAGGACTTAGAACAATGCTCGGAGGGGACAGAAAGTCAAAGGGTTTTTGAGTTTTGTTTTGTTTTGTTTTTTGTTGATGAGAAGGTACCTAAGATTAGTAGGCAAAGGGTCAGGTGTTGTAGAGACTGAGAGATCAAAGAGTAGAAAGAAAAGGAGGATTAAGGCCAAGAGAAGGAGAAGTTTGCAGACTATGGAATCAAGAGTGAAAGTGTACACTTGAAGAGGGAAGAAGCTTCCTTGTCAAGGAGGCAGGAAGCAAGCAACAGTGGGGGAGCAAACGTGCATGGCTGAAAGTGGGAGGGGAAAGGAATGTATGAAATAAAACGATTGTGTCATTAAAATAGTATTCTCACTAAAGGGTTGATGGTAGTGGAAAATGGTTTGGTAGAAAAAGGAACAAAATGTGTGCACAACAGAATATGATCTATATCAATTTGATAGAAAGAAAGAAACACAGAGAGAGGGAGGCATAGAGGAAGGAAAGAAGAAGGGACGTGGGAGGGAGGAACAAAGATTGGAAGAGAGCTTGCACTTCATGCACAAAAGGCTGGAAGGAGACAATGGGAAAATAGTCAAATTATCTCAGCTACCAGGGACGCTTGTGAACACACTTGATTCTGAAGTGACAATGGCTGGGAGCCCTTGCGTGGCTCAGTCAGTTAAGCGTCCAACTCTTGATTTCGGCTCAGGTCGTGATCTCAGGGTCTTGAGATCAGCCCCATGTTGGACTCCATGCTGAGCGATGGAGCCTGCTTGAGATTCTCTTAGCCCCTTCCTCTTTCTTTCTTTCTTTCTTTCTTTCTTTCTTTCTTTCTTTCTTTCTTTCTTTCTTTCTTTCTTTCTTTCTTTCTTTTCTTTCTTTCTTTCTTTCTTTTTTTCTTTTCTTTCTTTTTTTTTTTTTCCAGCAGTTCACCCTTTATGCATGTTAGGTCTGGGTCACTTAGAGCTGGTATACTAGGTGACAACCTTGGCACCCTCTGATACAGCATGCTTGGCCAGCTCCTCAGGCAGTGGCTGATGCACAGCCATCTGGAATTTCCGGATGCTGGTGGGGTTGGGCCTGAGTACTGGGCCAGCCCACAGCCTTGCCAGCCAGACGCTCAATAGGAAGGAGTCACAGAGGCCAAATTCAGAGAGAAATGAATTTTTGAAGGGGTTGAAAAATCCTAACGTGAAAACAGAGGCAACTCTATAAATCTCACATGCCACAAGAATCTGAGACTCATAAAAAAAACTGGATGGCTTAATTTCTGCTTAGGTACAGTGGAATTTGATGAACTCTAAGGTCTTTAGTCTTCAAATTCCCTCTTTTATTACTGTCCAAATATTCAGAATTTCAACATTTAAAACCAATTTCTCTTGTTCAAATATTTTCCATTAAAAATTAGCAGAACTTCTAGGTAACATTGGTGGATCAAACAGACAGATATGTTTTTACCCACAGGAACAGAAAGACCAAAAGCGGAGGTGACAGCAACAAAATTCTAGAAGCTAAGAAGTAATCAATTCCATAAGCCACAGAAAGCACCAAGCTAAGCTGGTAGTGGCTCGAGCCACAGGCAAGTTCATTTGTGCTGCAAACATCTCAAAAAAGTACAGGAATTGGATATATCCAGTCACTCCACAACTGAGGTTCATGTGAGGCTGGAACCAGAGGATTATAGTGGTCTAAATAAGAGAAATTGAGATTTCTGTCTCTGAGAGTCCAAGCTATGTATATAGAAAGACTTAGCAATAAAGATAAGTCACCTAAGGAAGTTTCTGCATACTGGATTTCCAAATAAGTTGTGACTTCTGACAAGATTCGGAAAAACAGTTGCTTTAGATCTTTGGAAGTTCGCATGCATGCCCATTACACATGCAAACCCAGCACTTTCCCCAGCCTTCCCCAAATGAAGGTTTATATATTGGCAATCTTTCATCATAAAATAGGAGCTAAAGTTTTTAGCTTGAGTCATCCCTCAAAATAGGCAGCTGCTCTCTCCTACCAGCTGATATTTCATATTAAATTGTCCCCCAGATATTTCATCAAAATGGCTTGCAGCGTACACCCTACATTTACCTCATGTCCCTTTTGTGGCTCATTGTCAGTCTGCACAATGGGGCAGTCTGGGCGGCAGCTGCAAATTTTCTGGTTTTCAGTACACAGAGCATATTTGTCAGCAATTACGTCTCAGTCTCTCTTTCTGCGCTTGTATTCTCATACAGAGTAGCGATGGCAAATTAATTATTACAATGATCTGGACTCTGCACCCCCTTTCCTATAATGCACACTGAAGCCCTTCCAGCTCATGGATAATTCTACCCACCAAGAAGCAGAGATGAAGGAGCTACAGCCTCCAGGTTTTAAAATTCTTCGTGGCTCCTAAAATATTTTTCCTAAAGATAGAATTATTTCATCTTTAATTCCTAGATAAATTTGCTATACATATTTATTGCCCTTGAACAGTGCTTTTCAAATTTTTCAACAGTATGCTTTTAATGGAAGAAGAAAGGTACAACCCATCCTTGGAAAGCTGGGGACACAGCATAAGATCATGGAAAGTTTTGTTAATCCTAAATTTTAATTTATTAAAGATATACTGGTTTTATGTTTCAATAAAAAGATAATTTTTTTATATCATCATAACTGTCTAGGGGGAAACCATGTTGCAAAAGCTTGTGTGATGTTTATGCTGTGAATTTGAGGATACCTTGGCACATCCTTTCATTGCTGGGCTCTGTGCATTTTGGTTTGAAAAGCAAGAAGAAAGATTCCCAACAAGCAACCATGACTTCAGTTGCCTCTGATCCCATTCAAGTGTCTTTCTTTTTACTTTTATCCCCTTGAGAAGTTAGTTTTTTCTGAATTTGGTGGATATTGAAGACTTTCTTATAAATCCTTGATGGCTATAGTTTTATGCTCCAATGACCTTTTAAATTTCAGAATTCCAAAGGAACTATTTTAAGTATGTAAATAGATATTTACCACAGTTCTTGGGTCTGTAGGCTTGAAAGTCAGATGATCTGGGTTTGAAAACTGGCTCCTTTATTTTTTTGACAAATGAATTTGACTTTCTTAACTGCTCTATTCCTTAGCTTTCTCACCTATAAAATAGAGGTGAATGTAATACCTACCTTTTAGGGTTATTGTGAAAATTACATGAAATACTATAAGTGAAATGTTTAGAATAGTGCCTGGAAATAGCACAAATTATCAATATTATCAGCTGCCTTTCTTAGATAAGACAATTGAGTCCAGAAGGAGAGAAGTTCTAACTGCAATGAAGGTTTTAGTAATTTCCAAAATTATAACCATACATATCTAGAATTCTCCCATTAAGAAATAGTGACTATTAAAAAAAAAAAAACAGTGACTATTTCTCTCCAGATGGCCACCGATTCTGCAAAATGTTGGCATATCTTTCTATGCAGCCATTCTCAATAAGAAGCCAAAATAATAGGCTATTGTGGTCATCTTGATAATGAACTCCCAGAGAGAACACAACATATATAATGCATATATTTATTCATTCATTTGTTCCTTCACTCATTCCAGGCATATACACTGAGTGCCTGCAGTGGATTGTTCACATAAATTGAATGTTGATGAAAGTTCACACTTCCGTCCATTTTACTACAAGCAATTTGGTAATCCCTAATCTGGGGTTAGGGTTTCGGTTTCTGCCTTTGGATACATTTATAAAAGCTAATGGTTCCAATCGCAACACCATCCTGAATGGTTTGTGTCCTGCTTTGCTAGCTTAGCTGGACCTTTTCTACTGCTGGAAAATTTTTCTCCAAGAGTCTGTTGCATCATGTAAAACAACTTCTCTAAACTTGCCTTTTTTCCCCAAACCCCTCAAATTCCACCATTAGGCCTCTACTTGCCAGTGGCCTACAGAGATGTTAAGAAATTCTGGGTTATTTATAACTGTCTCTTTCCCATCCTTCACGAAACTGGGTTTCTGTGAATTCATTTCTCCCCTTCTTCTTTCTCTCAGAGAAGCATATATCCCTCTTGGCAATGGCTAATTCTTTCCCCTAAGTTCTTGATTTTGTTCAAGTTCTGTGCTTTATCAATTTCTATTTTTCTCTCCTTTCTCACCTGGCTCCTTTCCTGGCAGAATCAAAGCAGCATCTTTCCAGCACTGGTCACTAACCCCCACTGTAACTAGTGTGTCAACAGGAATTCCCGCTTCTAACATAATCATGTGTTTTCCACCAAAAGATCTAACATCTGCAAGTAAAAGAAATCAGAATGATTTTCCAGAGTTAGCTCAGAATTTCACTGCACATTACAGGTAAATAATTTAACCTATTTACTCATAATTAGATTTAGGTTGCATGTAGATTTAGTACATTATGAGTAAAATAAAATGGGTGGCAAAATAATCTCAAAAAATCACACAGTATTTTAAGAAAGGTAGATATGGAAAATCAGGACGACCTTATAAAGAAGTTTTCATGTCAATGTATTTACTGCGTAACTTTTCTGGGATTTGCACATGCTGGACACTTATGTAAAGAAACCATCTCTGTCCTTTAAGAGTTTACATTCAAAAGATGTTACCCGCTCCTCCACAGACCAATGAACCATCATGGAGGATGTACATCAAATGTGGTTGTATTATAAGCTTATGTTATAATCTTCCAATATTTTAGGCAGGAAAAGAACAGGTATTAGATTCTCCCAACACTTCAGGCCAGAAAAAAAAAAAAAAAAGACTGTTGTAGAGGTGCTGAAGTTACCTGCTTTTAAATATTTAGGTAATGAAACCTCGAGGGGATGCTAGATGACTCATTAAGATTTATTTGTTTCACTTAAGTTGTGATGATTCGATTTCTGAGTCTCTGAACAGCAACTACAGATCCATATTTCTCTCTTTCTATTTCATTACTCACTGATAATTTTATTTTCTGCTGCTTCGGAATTCATCTCATAAAATGCTGTAGGTCCTCACCCTGTGTTGTGTTCCTGTTACCTGATCCTTTGTGATATAGAAAAATAAAGGTTCATAGGAAAAAATAATCTGCTCTTTAAGACTGTTTAAAATCAACTGACATTTAAGAATGAAGCAAAGAGAACCAATGACCATGTTTTAAGAAAACTGTATCCAGAAAAATTTGCTCTTATATGACAAAATTCTTTATAATACAAAGGTATAGAAAATAACTTGCTTTCTAAAATGTTTATTTACAATAAAGACATTTGAAATTCAGCTAAAAGCAAGTTTTATATTTAAAAAACATTTTTGGGGGGCATCTGGGTGGCTCAGTCTGTTGAGCATCCGACTCTTGGTTTTGGCCCAGGTCATTTTCTCAGGGTCCTGAGATCCAGCTCTGCGCTTAGCAGGGAGTCTGCTAGAGATTCTCTCTCTCCCTTTCCCTCTGCCCCTCCCCTCCCTTTCTAAAATAAATAAATAAATCTTTAAAAAACTTTTTTGTGTATATATAACAATCTAACAGCTTTTTTTCCATACCCAGGTATGAAGTCACCAAAGCTGACCTGGCTCTGGGTCCGGGCAGCATGGAGCACCCTAACCGCCACTGTAGACCTCTCCTACTGATAGTCAAGGCACTGGAAACAGTAGCTTGCATCTACAGTGCCTTCTCGAACAAAGCCCTGCACTCCTTAATCCACTGTAGTTTGACTTCTGACCAAAAACATTTACAGAAGCTTTTCTCTAAAACCAAGAATTGCTTCCATGTTGCCAAATCCAATACGCACTGTTTTGTTTTAATTTTATTTGACTCTCAGCATCATTGACACCCTTCTCTGCTTCTGTCTTTTGAAACTCTCTCTCTCAGCTTTTGAGGTCCCATTCTCCTGTTTTTTTCTCTTATGTTACTGTTCTTGCTGCTGTTGTGGCTCCTTCTTGGTCACCTCTTTGGCTCCTTTCTTTGACTTGGTGCTCAGAATGTCTGGACTCTGGAACAAACAGTCTTACATGTGACTTGGGATTTCAGCTGGGAATAAAGGAATGAACAAGTAAACAAATGAATAAATCATCCATTCATTGTTTTGATTTCAGAGCACCAAGGAAGACCCTCTCTACCTACAAAATGACTCTCCTCCCCCAACCTACTAAATGATGCCTGAAATATACTTTGTGGGAAACAAAGCTTTGCAGGCTGATTTCACACATAAAAAGAGCTTGGAGTCAGAAGGTTTGCTCACAGCTCTAGCACATACTAGAGTGTGACCCTGGTCAGTTCACTTAGCCTCCTTAAGTTTGTTTTGTCACTATTGTTAGTAATAATAACAGTAATGATTTACAGAGTTATGATAATCAATTATAATATCGTAATATATAAAAAACACATTTAAATTATAATGCCCAATATTTGTTTAAGGGTATAATTGTTCCTGGGTAGGTAATACATCGAGCACAATTCTTTCTAAAATACAAATAAAGTTTCTGTCTGCCAAGGCCCTGGAACTCAAAGAAGGACAAGACACAATCAGTCAATTGCCATCCAATGCAGGTAAACTGCAGATACTGTAGAACTATTCTGGGTCATTATCTGGGTCTCCCCTGTCTGTTCCTGATTTGATTTCACTCTTTCTCCAACACAGAGTCCTAGGGCCTCTGTTACTCGGTCCTGACATATTCCCAGCTTCATCCAACACTCCTCTGAATCCCAGAACTGCTTTCATGAGCGTTCTCTGCCTTGTCCTTGGTTTCTCAGATGAGAATTATTTCTGACCATGTTTTTCATGTCCATGCACGTCAACTCTGATAAGGGTAGAACTGAAGAATAAGGAGGAGGCAATCAAACAGCTGAAATGGAAGGGAAGCCCAAATGATATGGCACATGCCAGAAGCATAGAATTTACTATGTGCAGAGGAAATAGAGTCATGCATGAATGATGATGTTGCAGAAATACGAACAAGGTCAGGGCTCAGAGTTAGGTTCATGTTTACATTTTGAGCCTTCTTTTCTGTCTTCCTATGGAGGAGCCCAACTCTTGTCTTTTGAATTTTGAAACATAAAAGGGAGTTTTAATAGATTCTGAAATGTAGGATCAGCCGAGAGTTTGGAAGAGAATTTGCCAGGTGGGAAGGAAGTCATGCAGAGCAGAAAGAGAAGGAGCGCTGAAGATAAACTCTCCCTGCCTTAGAATTTAGCTTAAGGTCAGCTCTACTTTAAAGACTTTCTTTAATCTCTCTAATCACTTATATACATGTCTCTGCACTAAATTATTTTTAGGAGAAGTGAAGCATCATCTTAGCTCTTTCAGATGGATGTTATCACATGGAAACTACTATTAAGGATATTTTGGTGCCCAATTTGTGGGCATAAAACTTCCATGGAACTTTTAAATAATTTCTTGACTAATTACATAGCTTTGATTCTGTCCTCATCAAATATGGGAATCCCTTCAGGGTACCTAATACAATTATAAAAGGTATCTGTTAATAAATGACTAACATAAGATGATAGTATAATTTTTAATGAGGGATTAGGCCATGTAGAAACTTTATCATTAGAAAGGATACGTACCAAAAATCAATGCTTAACTGTTCTAAGGAAATATAGTCTGAAGACCCTGATGGAGCAAAAAAATGTGACTAATTTTTCCTTAGAACAATTTAAGTTAAAAAAAAGTTACTCAACATGCAAAGCATGCCAAACGATTTACCCACGTATACTGGAATTTATATCCATGATTCAACAAACTTAAAAAATAAAATCTTTTTTCAATGTTTCTGAAGTAAGGTGCCTTATCACTCTGTCACCAAATGTAACCACTGTCCTGAATTTGTTTTTCACTCATTTGCATTTAGTATTTAAATATGTATCCATGGCGATACATGGTATTATTTCCCTGTTTATAAACTGTATATAAATGTTTTATATTGTGTGTATTTTTTAAGATTTTATTTATTGATTGATTTTTGTGAGAGAGAGAGTGAGTGAGCCAGTGCACAAGTAGGGGGGAGGAGCAGAGGGAGAAGCAGACTCCCTACTCAGCAAGGAGCCTGATGCAGAACTCGATGTGGGACTCAATGTGGGACTCGATGCAGGATTTGATCCCAGGACCCTGGAATCATGACCTCAGCTGAAGACTGATGCTTAACTGATTGAGCCACCCGACTGAGCCCATATACTGTGTGTATTTTGACAATATTTTTTCATGCAACATTATGTGGGAGACATTGGTGCATGTAGACACATGTGGTTCTAGTTCATTTCTGTTCTCTATTGTATAGCTCAACTGTATGTATATGTGCACTTATTCATTCATCAACAATTCATTGAGTATTTATAATGCACTGTTTTAGGTGCTGGGGATAAAGCACCTAGCTCTTATAAACCTTATATTCTATTTGGAAGAGTTAGTAACAAATAAAATAAATAAGGAAATACATGGTATCTTAGCCAGTGGTAGCAATATAAAGAAAAATAAAGCCAGAGAGGGGAAAGAAATGGCAGGGAAATGGAATGCCATTTTAAATAGGAACACAAGGTGGTTCACTTAGATGGGGACAGCTGAGTAAAGACCTGAAGAAGGGGAGGAAGAAGTTATGTACAACTTTATAGGAAGAATGTTATGGGCAGAAGCAGCAGAAATCATAAAGTCCTGAGGCAGGAACATAGCAGGTGTCTTCAAATAGCAATAAAAAGGCTTGGTGGCTGGACGAATATTGGGACAATAATTGGTAGCTAGTTCATTTATCTCTGCTTTAATCTTTGTTATTTCCTTCCTTGCTCTTTATTTAGTTTCTTAATATGGAAGTTTAGGTTATCATTTTATTTCTATAAATTTCTATAAATTTCCCTCTAGCATTGCATTTACTACATCCCATAAGTTTTGGTATATTGTTTTCTTGTTTCCATTCAACTCAAAGAATTTACTAATCTCTTTTGTGATTTCTGTTTCACCCATTGTTATTCAGAAGCCTATTGCTTAATTTCCACTTATCTCTAACTTTCCTGGATTTCATTCTCTTACTGATTTGTTAGTACTTGTATTTCCTTATGAACAGAAAATATATTTTGTTTGATTCCAATCTTTATAGATTTATTGAAACTTTTTTAATTATTATGTTCAGTTAGCCAACATACATTACATCATTAGTTTTTGATGTAGTGTTCCATGATTCATTAGTTGGGTATAACACCCAGTGCTCATCACAGCACGTGCCCTCCTTAATGCCCATCACCCGGTTATGCCATCCTCCCATCCCCTTCTTTCTAGAACCCTCAGTTTGTTTCCCAGAGTCCAGAGTCTCTCATGGTTTGTCTCCCTCTCTGATTTCTTTTTAAGTGAGCTGCCATACAGTCTATCCTGGAGGATAGTCCATGTGTTCTTAAGAAGAATGTGTATTCTCCTGTGGTTGAGTGGAATATTCTGTGAGTATCTGTTAGGTATCCTTGGTTTATTTTTTTATCTTTTTTTTTAAAGATTTTATATGTGTCTATTTGAGAAAGAGAGTGAGAGAGAGCACGAGCAGGGGTGAGGGACACAGGGAGAGGGAGAAGCAAGCTCCCCACTTAGCAGGGAAGCCCAATGTGGAGCTTGATCCCAGGACCCAAAGATCATGACCTTAGCCCAAGGCAGATATTTAACTAACTGAGCCACCCAGGCTCCACGGTCTCATTGGTTTATAGTATCATTCAAATCCTCTATTTTGTGGCTGATCTCCTACCCAGATGTTCAGTTCATTATTAAAAGTAGGGTATTGAATTTTCCAACTATTTTGTCGTGTTACCTATTTCTTACTTAATTCTGCCAGTTTTTGCTTGATGCCGTCTCTTCCTTTCCATTAGAGACTTTAATCCATTTAATTTAATTACTGATATGAGAATTTGTCTTGTATTTTAGTATTTTGCTAGCTTCTATAGCTCTTAATTTCTTTAAATCCCTGGAACCAGTAAGTCTCCCAGCCTTTACAGAGGGGTCCTGCATGTTTGTGTTGGGGCATGTCTTTATTATGCTGACAGGCAACTTACGCTCTGCCACAGCCTCCAATTCCTGTTTGTACAGAGCCTCAAAGAGGTTAGGTTTTTTCTGAGTCTGTGCACAGCCCTGCATATGCATGTGACCTATAAATGCCCAGGAATATATGGAGATTTTCAAAACCCTCCACAAATATTTCATTTCTTTCCAACTTTTCATTTTAAGTTTTTTGGCCACTTTTTTGTTTGTCCGAACTTTTGTGACCATCTCAGACTGCTGTAATATTAAACAATTGCTAGTGATTGTTTTGGAAAATGCTCAAAGTGGGAAAGGCTGTCCACACTGGCTGAGTCTGAGTCAGGCCAAATAAAAACAAGTTCAACCAGTGGGTGTTTCTTAGGAACTGCCAGACAGGTCCACTATTGGTGTGTCTTCAGGGATGGGCCTTGAAAAGAGCTCCAAACCTGTTTTGTTTACTCCAGTGGCTGCTAAGCTGTTGATTTTTACAGTTACTGCAATTTCTAAAAAGAAATACGATAATTTTAATTTTGAAATGTGACTATTGTATTTGTTTTGAAAGGCTTCATAATACCACCCCAGATTCATGATTTACCTACAAAATTTCAGTCCAACTTTTGCTACAAACCTCACTGGAGAATATCAAGTATATATATATATGTTTTGTTTTGTCTGAAATTTATTATTTATTCATATACATGAACAGATGGTGTCAAGGAATAAAAACCACCTTCCCCTTACCCGGCTCTCTCAAGTGTACCTTTCCAATTATAAAGGTTCTTTATATATTTTTGCCCAGAAAAGAGAACAATATCCAGTTAACCCCCCTGAAAACCTACAGGGGTTTATTGCAGAACTGTGGGATGGAACTGGATGAGATCTAGTTAAAAAGCCAGAAAGTTCCCTGTTCTAACCAAGATTTAGCCACTTTTAAAATAAATCCTCCTCAGACTGTTGCAAACTTTTGGTTAGTGTTCAAAGTTCTGAAAGTTGATTTTTGACAATCTTTACTAATACTCTCATTGTTTTTATGAAGAAACAGATTTTCAGAGGTCCTTAATTTGCCATTCTGGAAGTCAAAATCCTTTCTTTGCCCATTAAAAAAATTTTTTTGCTTCCTTATTTTTGAGTTGTAAGTGGTCTTCCCATGTTCTGACACAAGCCCAGTGTCTGATGCATGCATTTCATACATTTTGTTCCAGTCTGCATTTTGTTTTCTATTTTACTAATGGTATTCTTCAAAGAACAAAAATTTTAATATTGATGTCATCCAAGTTATTTTTGCTTAATTTTCTTTTCTGATTCTGGCTTTTTTTTTTTCTTTTTTCTTTTCTTTTCTTTTTTTTTTTTGTTCTATCTAAGAAAACTTTGGCTACTCCAAGTTTGCAAGGATTTTCTCATGTTCCCTTTTTGAAATTGTTTTGTTTTTGATTTTACACTTAAGCCCATAACTTCGTTCACATTAATCTTTGTGCATGGTATGAAGTAAGGACTGGTTTCATCTTCTCTATGTGGATAACTCTTTTTTTTTTTTTTGTAAAACAAGAAAAAAATGACCTCTGAAATATATGCAGAATCTCTACAAATTAGAGGAAATTTCTGCTTCTTTCATATCATTACATTGATTAAATAGATTCTTTCCCTACTTAATCACTTTTATTTCACCCTGGAGAGTGCTATATTCGATATGGCAAATGTCCTTTATCTCTTTGATCACCTCATAGCCTCCTGTTACCTCTGAGTTGGCTGTCATAACTTTTTTGGAGATTACAAGATTGACCGTGTTCACTTTTGTAGAACTTTATAATAAAATTCTGTGAGCAATGGTTATAATTCATAATATATAACTATGATCTTATTGTCTTAATTGTGTGTTTAGAACCTACTAGCATAAAAAACTTTGGGTTCTACCTGATGTCAGCCCAGCCCCAATTTAGATGATTACATTATAAGTGCCCTCCACTCATCAAAATGTGTAAATGTCAAAAATGAAAAACAGCATATATGGAAGTGGATAGTACTTTTATTTCTCTCTACCTAACACTCCCCTTCCCTAGCCCATAGAAAAAAGGAAGAAAACAAACATTCCACTCTTTCTGAATTTCTGTCAGGTCAACCTGAATTATACAGGACTAAAATGCCTGTTTGCGTATCATGGTTGGCCACACTCCTCAAGTTCCTTAACATCTATCGTAGTTAACAATGCACACTTCCCTGACTCTCATCTCCCTTCCAGGCTGTGCAAAATATGTCTAATTTCAAAAACCTATTTCTGATTCTGACAAAGCATAAAACTAAACTAATAATATGTGAAAGAAATTCTGCTGGTCAGATATACGAAGAAAAACTTCGTTAGGTCTAATACATTTGAGATAAAGTGACTTGGCAAATAAAAAATATATGTGGTATAAACTGACAAACCAAATAAGCAACCACTGAGTTGAATAATCTTTCTCAGCTATTAAAATATTACTAAATAGGTAGAAGAGAATGAATAGATAAAAGCCAAGAAAAATCAAAGGCAGATGAAAACAGGGCTGGTAAAGACAGAGCACTGAAGACTTCTTTCTTTTTTAATCTGGAGGCAGAGAAGCACTGAAGCGAAAATATGATCGTGAATCATAGAGAGAAACTTGAAGATTGACATAAGAGGTCTAAACCCAAGTCTCAGACCAGTTCCTCAGGCAGGAATGGAGTTGTCTGAAATAAAAGCTGAAGGGGTGAAGATTGTTGCAGGAAGGGCTAAGGATAGGCTGGCCACTTTCCTTGATGTACTCTTCCCTCTGGTCAAAAAAACAACTGGAAGGGAAAAAATTCTCTATATCTAAAAGAAAGGTATTCTTACAATAGTCTACTTTCATTCTTCTACCCTGGGAAGTTCTTTCATTTGCCAAACACTGTAGATCTCCCAGTTGCAACCTTAAACTGACATTGAGATTACATGACAAAAATGTTCCTGTAGGCAATTCTTTGAAGTCAAAGCAAAACCAAGCGAAACTAAAATAAGGGTTGCACATTTCCATGGGCATCTGTTTACTTTGTTTTTATTTTCAGGTCTTATATTATCTATACCAGTTCTATTTTAATAGCCAAGATGGCACTTACTTAAAATACGACATAGAATCTCATTGAGGTAATAAGTTGCTTTTAACCGTATCAGTCTGGGGAAGAGAGTGAGGGTCCTTCTTACTCATGATGCTTCCAGAAGTTAAAACAGGGTAAAAAAGATTCATTTATGAATTTACAGCTCCATGTCTCTTCCACAACTCTCACAAATGGAGGTGATTTAAATTTTTTAAACTGGGGACGCCTGGGTGACTCCGTTGGTTAAGCATCTGTCTTCAGCTCAGGTCATGATCCCGGGGTCCTGGGATCGAGTCCCCCTTCGGGCTCCCTCTCAGCAGGGAGCCTGCTTCTCCCTTTGCCTGCTGCTTCCCCTGCTTGTGCTTTCTCTATATGACACATAAATAAATAATTAAAGTCTTTAAAAATAAATGGACAAATTTTTTTAACCTGTTAAAAAATCCAACTGAGTAAATTTTAAGATTTTATTGGTCTTATTCAATGAATCATGAATCGGGCAGCATCCCATCTAGTGGACAGAAAGGAGCTCCGAGGAACTGCACAAAATGAAAGACTTCTCCAGGCAAAGGGAGCAAGAACAAAGAAGTTATATTAGGCAAAAATTGGTTATTGCAGGGTTACTTTCCCTTAGGGGGTAGCGGGGGTACATAGGTGGATTACCTAACTAATTAGTGCTGATCGGGGATTCCTGTTTGACTGGCCTAAGATTCCATTTCCGGGAGAGGAGAAATGCTATGTCTTGGTGTGGTGATGTGGAGCTTAGAATAAGCAACTTGATTTAGGGCCTGTTGTCTCGTTTTTAACAAATGCATAACATTATGTACACAGCTGCAATTTCTTTTGTAATCCAGAAGTTAGCTGGAGCCCTCTTGTCTCTCAATGTCAGATATCTTCAGATCTCCTTCAGGGCTTCAAAGCCCTTCCAGTATTATCCACAAAACCTAGGAGCTGGCCCTCTCTTCTGTGCCAGGCTATCTGATTCATATATAATGTTTTATTTTGTGAATATCAGCCCAAACATAGGTCACATTTTTCCATAAGAAATCAACACACACTAGACCTTTTGTGAGATTGATATTCCTTACTGAAGATTTAGGTGTGACAGGAATGGGTCACCTTTGAGTGCGTGACTTTCATTGTCTCAAATCTCTGTCCCCTTTGGCCTTTTCCTGTCTGCTCCTCTCCCACTCGGATTGGTCATTTCTCCTTTGGTGGCTACCGATTTTTCCCTCTACTTCGCTTTCTCCAGTTTCTACACCTCAAGTTTGCATGATCAAATCCATCAATGATTTCTGTCTACAGGAGCCACACCACCTAAAAGGCCTTTGGGTTATACATGGGGAAAGCATTTCAGCAAGACCCTCAGACACAAAAGCATATTCAATAGATTTCTGAAAATATGAGAATAAGTAAATCTGGAAACCAGTCTCAGCACTATCGGCCTCAGGATTCTGGCAGTTCTTTGATTAGGTCTTACGAAGAATAATGAAAGTAAGAGATATTTATAAGATTATCCATGTGTTAAAGCTACTATATTCTGAAACTTTTTTTAATTGAGGTAAAATTGACATATAACATTGTATTAGTTTTAGCTGTACAACATAATGATTTGATTTTTTTTTAATTTTTTTATTGTTATGTTCATCACCATACATGACATCATGAGTTTTGGATGCAGTGTTCCATGATTCACTGTTTGTGCATAACACCCAGTGCTCCACGCAGAACGTGCCGTCGCCAGGCTAACGCAGCCCCCCACCCGCCTCCCCTCTAGAACCCTCAGTTTGTTTCTCATGATTTGATATTTGTATTACAAGATGATGACCACATTAAGCTTAATTAACATGCATAAAAGGCAAAAGATTTATACGACCTGAAGAGAAACCAGAGTAATTAACATGCGTCACCATACATAGTCACAAATTTTTTTTTCTGGTGAAGAAAACTTTGAAGATCTACTCTCTAAGCAACTTTCAAACATGTACTACTGTATTATGAACTATGGTCAGCATGCTGTACATTATATCCCCGTGACTTAC